TTTGTAGATAACCACAGGTGGTCAGCCACTCTAGGGATCTCGTATTTTGGGACACTAGAGACCACTTACAGTAGCAGGAAGAAAAGGTCATCAACTTCTGCCACTGCCTCCACTACTGCTCCCCCTCCTTCTGTTGTTGCACCTCCAATGACACATGTTTCTGCACTTGTTACTCTCACCCCTCTTGTGGCACCTACTCTCACCACCCCTCCCGTGACACCTGCTCCCATACCCGCTGCTGCCCTGTCTCCCATGATGTCTGCTGCTTCCGCACCTACTCCCCCACTTGATGCTGACACACCTCTCGAGCATGGACCATCAAATTTCACACCCCTCTCTAAGGGTACATTTACTACCAGATGGGAACTCATAAGTTATTTTTAACATTATATTATCTTTATTTTTAATGGTATATGTTTCTTGTAACTATTTTTTTTCTTAAGTAGATTCATTCTTCATAAGATGGTCGACACCTGCATCATAGAGATTATCAGAAGCATGTATGATCCTACCTATCTCTCATGAAAGCAGATCCTTGTAGCCACTCAAAACTTATGGTTCAGGGAGTTTGGGGTACGATCATGTAATTTGAATCAAATTTATAAATCTAATTTAATTTTTTATGCTAACACATGGATTATTTTCTATGTTTTGGAGGTCCTTCACCTGGTTCCTAGAACACCACCATTAGATCTGCCAATTTTTTAAGATTTTGGGCAGACATAACCTTAGAGACATGTTCACAATAGCTTGCCGGAGGGGCAAGTGGCTTGCCTAGATTAGTGAGGAGCTCTGGGGTCAGTTGACCACAATATGGGCCTCTCTTGATTATGAGAGTAAGAGACAAAAACACCGAGCGAACCAGACGACGGAGAGGTCCAGAAGAGTTGTGTTTCAAATTAGCGGATCAGCCCCCCATATGGAGCACTGTAGAAGGCTATTAAGATTCTTTTAAATAATTAAAAATTAATTTAATATTTGAAGTGATTTTGTAGCGCTAACCAATTTTTTATGCTATGCATGCCGAGAAGTTGACTCTTGCTCCCTTCATTGCGGAGCCGCTTGTCCGCACTCGTCGGCCCACGGGGAACACATAATGGGTCTCCGAGCATTACCAGTAGGTTGTTGTAAGTTAGAAACATTAAAATATAAGTTTATTTTGACTCTAACTATTGAAAGTGTCAATTAAACACTGGTTAAATTATGTAGGAGGAGTCTGAGCTTCTCCAGGAGAGGCACTTGGCCACTCAGAACTAGATTTCCACCAGCAGCATTAGCAATCACTCTACCACTATGAAGTCTGAGTATGAGCTTTGGACCGAAGTGGTGGGAAAGAGGAAGGGGAGGTTTTATGGCCTTGGAGGGAAGAGCATAGCCTTCGAGTTCGAGCTCTCTCATGGACCTGTACTGAGTTCCCTAAGCTCCTCACAGTTAGTCCCAGAGGCTCTTTCCAGGCAGGTAGCCAACTGCACAAGCAAATACTAGAAGTCCAACATAGGGTCGAGGACTCCATAGCGTGCATGACAGAGACTTTAACAGATTGTCGGGGCAAGCAGCCATTGACATCCGTAGAGGAGGAGAAGGAGAGAGATAATGAGTAGTTTATTTTTATATTTTCTTTTACTTGTAGCCATTATTTTGAACATTTACTATGAAATTTTTGGTTAATTTTAATATTATTATTTGGAATAATTACAATATCTTCTTTTTCATTAATGATATTTGTCAGAGCTTTAATCTGTGATATGACTGGATATAATGTGGTATGTGATGTGGATTATATATTGTGTGCAGGTTGTGGAAATATAATTGATCTTCTGAATTTTTTTCTGTGGTACGAGTTTACATTAGATTTATGTTTGTTTTGTGTCGAACAATCTGACGTTAAATTGAGAATCATATTTCATTATTTATTTATATTATCCGCTGTAAATTCGATGATAATCCGACAATATTCTTTATCGTCCGATGTTTTCAGATGCAAAAGTCCACGCACATGTAGACTAAATAAATCTGATGCTAATGTAAAAACTGACACAAATTATTTATGTCAGAATATTTTGACGAACATTGATGGAATTAGCATTACCGACCCCTAATTTACCCGCGGAAAAAAAAATCAGACGTAAATCCAACACAAATCCGACGATAAACCTAAAATATCATGAGATTTGCCTTAAATTTAGGTTCAATTTGGCCAACACAAATTTGCTTAATTCCTATAATGATTGATGTATTGAAATGATTATAAATTTTGAGGTAATTCACAAATGTAATTATTTTATTATATTGACTAATGTTCTTAGTGTAATTTAGGGTTTCTTTTGGGCATGTCATTAATAATTAAATGTAAGTTTATTTTGAGAAAAGTAATTTTCTAAATTATTATAGATTGTTTCCCCTTATTTTATAACCTATAGGTTCCAATTTATGTGCAAGTATAGATTTAAAAAGTGATAGAAGTTGAAGTATTTTTATTTAATTTTAGCAGTGATATTATGGATGAATATAATTGATGAGTTGTTAATGTGATTATGAATTTTAAGGCATTTATAAATGAATGATATTTTATATGATGATTTTAATTTCTTAGTATCATTTGGGATATGTTTGAGAGTGGTTAGTCTTGTTGTTGACATTACGTATAATATTTTTTTTTTATTATGAGTATATTTGTTAATCTTGTTGTAAATAGCTCATTCTCATTATTGAAAGTTGGAGCCAAATTATGAAATGCAAAGTGCTAAATATGGCACATTTAATTAGATGTGCAAATCTAAATAAAAGTAATAAATATATAAAAATTAATTAGTTGTTTTTAGAGTAGCCTAATTTTCTTACATATAATTACATCTGCATCATTTCTATTATGACTCTATCACGATTATAAAAGTTTAAAATATAAGCTAACAATTTCATTAGCACTTTTTTCAACTCATTTATTTCCTTAAATACATAAGATATTTATCTTCCTATGAACCATATTATCTATTAATTTCATTAATTTACAATTGAGAATATATATATATATATATATATATAATATATATATTCTAATTTTTTATCCTGATATCAGTTTTATAGACAAACTTCTTTGCCTCCATCCATTCATATAGTGAGAACTCTTGTTTATTTCACATTACACCTAGACACTAATGCAGTAGCCCTTGCATACTTTTCACCATATTCATGTCATATATTCTGTTGCTTCTAGATGGCGCCTAGCCTAAAGTCCGAAAAAACTCACCAAGAAAAAATGCTGATCATGCAAATTGTACAATAATAGATTTTTTAATTAATTCACTAAAATCTGTCAAGAATTATTTACTCTTACAAAATTTATTTTCCTACATATATCATAAGAAATGAGCAGGGAGATAACCATACATAGCATTATTAGAAAAAAAAAATACATAACAGATCATGATAAATAGACAATAATTGAAGTAATTGCCACTATATCTCAAGTTCATTAGCAGCATATTCAAGCTAAGTAACTTTAGACAGATGACATAGAAAAATTATTCATAGACACATGTCGTTCAATAAATGTTTATACATTTCATGAATGAACATGCCTCGCTTTCTGTTGATAAAATAATGTACAGTCAATTACAAAATATACATTTCATGAATGAACATGCCTCGCATTCTGTTGATAAAATAATGTACAGTCAATTACAAAATAATGCAGTAGCCCTTGCATACTTTTCACCATATTCATGTCATATATTCTGTTGCTTCTAGATGGCGCCTAGCCTAAAGTCCGAAAAAACTCACCAAGAAAAAATGCTGATCATGCAAATTGTACAATAATAGATTTTTTAATTAATTCACTAAAATATGTCTAGAATTATTTACTCTTACAAAATTTATTTTCCTACATATATCATAAGAAATGAGCAGGGAGATAACCATACATAGCATTATTAGAAAAAAAAAATACATAACAGATCATGATAAATAGACAATAATTGAAGTAATTGCCACTATATCTCAAGTTCATTAGCAGCATATTCAAGCTAAGTAACTTTAGACAGATGACATAGAAAAATTATTCATAGACACATGTCGTTCAATAAATGTTCATACATTTCATGAATGAACATGCCTCGCATTCTGTTGATAAAATAATGTACAGTCAATTACAAAAACTCCATCAAATGGTGGCTATATTCTTAAAATTATTAGAAGACGAGAGAATAGAACTATATCTGGTGTTCCAGTTTTTTCTCCAAGGTACTGTTTACGTTCCTTTTTTTTTAATAAGATCTGAGGCACGGTACAGCTCCACTGCCATTACTCAGTGAAAAATTTGCGAGACGTACACAATGTTGCCTACGTTAGAGAGGTTATTCAAAGGTTATTAGGGGGTTATATCCGCGCTGTACCCTCTGTAACTTCCCTGTAACCTACATGTGCGCAAATATAACCCACCAATATCCTTTGAATAACCTTTCTGACGTACGCAGCACTGCATGCATCTTACGTACACAAATTTAAGACGTATGCAAATTTTCTCCATTAATAAAAAATCATTCACGTTAGGCTGCAGGTCGATACAAAAGCGGGCCACATAAATTAAAATAATGCGAGAATTAAAACGAATGCATAAGCCTTGTGACTTGTGAGCGGTGATGTGCATGCTTTGGCAGATGGAGATAAAACCATACAAGTAAAGGGAGGCGCATTAAAGCAGGAGGCAGGGAGAAGGCAGGCTCACGAGGGGTTGGTTGTTGTGGTGGGCCAGCGTAGAGGATAAAAAAATATATAAATAATTAAACAAATAATTAATTAATTAATTAATTAATTAAAGCAGGCCAACCATTACCTCCATCATGGATGACTTTCAGATTATTAGGTGAGTACTCATATTTTTACTATTTCCGTATATAAAAATAGTTCTTTGTAAAATAATAAGTTGGCAATATAGATAAATAACTGTATGATATAAATAATGTTTATTTTTTAAATATTAAGGGCCCTCCTCTAATCTGCTGTCTCTCTGAAAGCCATATACTCTCCTTCAATTATGCAGTGTATGTCTGGCTTTTCTTCTCCCAATCTTCATGCTTTCGAATGCTTCATATGCTTTGCTTTTGTCGGCTTGAGGGATTGAAGCTTTCAGATCACATGATATGCTTTGATTTAATTTGTTGGTGTGAGGGGATGAAGCTGCCAGCATGATCTGTTCAATTATGTCTATACATACCAAGCCTAGCCGGTTCAGTTCAAAAAAAACAACTTTTTTGCTTATAATTTCTCTTTCGTTTTTTTATCATTCTTCTCTTCTGTTTTGCCTCTCAAATATCTTAGCTACTTTTCTTAATTTGCATGTTCTCTCTCTCTCCCTCTATCTCTTTGACCCTGTTTCATATTGGTGTGGTTCAAAGATCAGATCATGTTGCAGCTTCAATCACTCACCATCAACAAAGGGCTCTTTTAGAGTGCGTTGGATTTTCTGATCGTCTGATTTGCATCACATATGGTTCAGATTCTGGCAATTCGTGAGGTATTAGAATGCAAAATTAGATCCATAAACTTATGCACATGTCATGATTTTGAGCTCTTAAATTTGCAGGTTTTAATTTTTGAAGATTTTTCAATTTTGTATGGTAGTTAAAGAAAGTAGCTATGTGATACTGCCTATCAGTGATGATGCAACGTGTAAAATTACTAAGGTTTTCTTATTTATATATTTTGATAACTTCTAATTGGTACATATATTGAAATATGCATATACTTTTAGGTGGTCTTATTGCCGGAGCTAGCCAGTTTATATATATTCACTTATATTTAAAGCTTGCTCGGCAGTCTTACTAGCTACTATTTCCACAAAATGAAAAACATTATAAGGCCAAGGAAACAATTTATCTTCTTCTTCTTCTCTCTCTCTGCTACATATTCATGCAGGAATTGACAAGGAATCGCCAACGATGAGACTGAAATAATTTTGAGCACAGTGAGCATGTCTTTTCATGCGAGTAATTAATATCTTTTCATGATGACATTTAGGTTTTGCAGGTTAAATTTAGTATGTTTCAAATCAAATAAAAATATATTGTATGTTGTATATAGTGTACAGATTCTTATATAATATGTATAATATTGTTGTGTATAAAGTATGGATGCATCAGAATTCTGCATGTAATATTCTCTTCAAAATGAAAAAAAGAAATTATGCATGCCTAATGTTATATTGTATGAGTTTTATGCGTTTAATGTTTTACATGTTTGCTTTTAATGGATGAAGGATTATAATTTGTATATAACATTGTAAATCCTGTTTGCATTATAGGAGAAAAGGTTGTAGTAGTGTCAATATTTAAATAAGAGTTATTTTATATGTTGGATATAATTTGTAATCAAAATGCATTTAATTTATAAATATTGTTCTCGCCTCAACAATTATTATTCGCATTCAATCCTTTTTGATTGATTAAAAATTAGTTGATTAGTCTGAGTTGACCATGCAAATCCTCAAGCATCTATAAATCTAGTTAAAATTAATATATATATATA